AATTACGTAAGCATACTATCTTCTCGCGCTCTTAGTAAGTGCGTAATAGGGCTACCTTAGTAAGCTCCTCTTTAACTTAAAGTTTTGCTTCTAACTTAGCCTCTAACTTTTCTAATCTTTCCAATTTAGCATCTATTTTTAAATAATCTAGTAGAGGAATTTCCTCTAGCTTATACTTCTAATTCCCCTAGCGTACGTAGTTGGTGTAGTGGGAGTAAAGAGAAGAAAGATAGTATAGGAGCCCCTTCTTTACGTAATAAGAATAAGCGACTATAGCGTAGACATAGTCCTTCTCTAAGCAATTAGCTTAATGATGGCGAAAGTGGATAGAACGAGAAAGTGGCTTTATGGGTGGTTAACTCATGAGGATATTAAGCGCAGAGGGGGGGGGATGATGTTAGGATCCATAGCCCGGCTACGGGGCACTCGCTGCTTTTGGGGCTGAGGGGCTCTAGACCCTAACTTAGCCACATGTCACGTGACCTAAGTCACGGGTCCCAGGAATACCAGGAAGGGCACGGACCCTCTATGACTCTGGGACTCCGGGACTTTGGGACTCCGGGACTTCTGGGATATAGAGTATATAGGAACACGAGTCTAAACTCTTATACTCATATTTAACCTGTTTATTAATCTATCGTTTGGATTACACTTAGGCTATATTATTAACTCATTATATCTTCCTCCAATACTATCGTCTCGACAAAAACCCCTTCCCTTCCCTCAGTTGTCTTGCCTGAGAACCAACCTTAACCCTTTAGGACTAGCTACCCTTCCGGATTTAACAATCCCGTGACCGGAGAGGTGAGGTATAGGATACCTTGGGTTCTAATAAAAGCCAAGCAACCCCCGTTACAACTTAGGCTATGTGATAGAGTGAGAGCTGGGTCAAAAAATCCTAGTATACCCTAAAAATGGACCCCATACTCTCTCCATTAGTAGAACTCGGTTTACCTAGTCCTACATTACATTTTCTGAGAGGCACAGTCACATGAGGAATTTAAAACGCAAATGAGTGTATTTTTTATAGGCATGTTATCAAGAAAGCAAAAAAGCAAAACATATAGGACATCTCTCTCTCATTATAACCGAGCCTGCGTATTCCTCCAAATAGCAAAGCGGAAAACGAGCGTGTCAACAATACTAAGTGAACGCAACATTTTAATGAATTCAACCATTTATCAAGTGCCGTTAAGAGTTCTTAGGCGCAACCTCGGTGCCCAGTGTTGCAAGCAAGACAGGAAGAGTATTGTTTGATGCCGGAATCTCGAAGGAGTACTCGGAATCATTCGTTTTAACCTTATCATAATCCGTGCTATTTTCTTCACTGTAACTTGCATTTCCCCCAAGATTAAGTTTGAAGCCAAAAAGAGATGCAGAAGCACCTCCGGAATGGCTACTAGCCGTCTGAATAGACGACTTAATTTTATCGTACGTGCTCTTATCCATGGTAATCTTGATAGACACGTTGTAGCCCACGACGACATAACTGGCCCGGAACATTGGGTCCCAAAGGTCAGGCGACGCGCTTGCGAAGAGATGGGGATAGTTCTTCTTCAGGTCCTGGGGCGCCCTGTGATTTTGGTAAGATAGTTACCTAACTGCCATGCGTGAGTTGTACGTCTCTTATACTTACCAGCTGTTGTCTGGGTATATGTCAAATGACTGAATTCCAAGAGCTTTCAATTCGAATTTAATCTCGCTGCTCTGGCTTCCAACGTTTACATCCTCAGTTTTCTTTTCCTTATTGTACGTGTACTCCGCTCTGAAAAATGGAGCCCAGCCCACACTTGCCCCCAAGCGGGTGGAAGAATAGCCAACCTGCGCCCAGCTGTAGTTACTGGCATCCTTGGAACTGAAGGAAAACCCTGCAGATGGAGGGTTCAGGTCTGCTGCACGTCTGATCCATCCTTTCACTGCTGTTGGGTAACCTTGGGAGATATGGTATGCTGGAGCATATGTCTTCGGTCCAGTAACAATATCCTTGGATCCAATCAAAGCGGCAGATACCTCCATGTTGTAACTAATGTTTTACGTTAATCAATGGGCTAAAAGATATTCAAGGCATCACTTACATCGACTTCACTTGTGCGTCACAAGCCGCGGCGACCGTTTTCTGGTCTTTTGACAAGGACTTGAACCCAGCACCGTATATTTGGGTCATGATCTGATCATAGCTATTGACAGCTCCGGCCAGATCATCCTTGGCTTCGCCATAAGCCGGGTATTTATCCAAAACCCAGTCCGAAAATGACTGGCTTGGGTCTCTGACGGGGTCAGATTGGTAGGCAGCAACGGCATCATTTTGTGTCTGGTTGAAGGTGGTCTGTTTTTCGGTAATTGCATTCTTGCGGTCACGGGCGATTTGTTCCAGACCAAGATCGCTTACACCGCCCTGATGTCTGTGTTAGCCGATTAATGAGACATTTGCATATACTTACCAGTTGAACGCTCTGGAGGTAGCGGAGGCATTTTTGGGAGTAAGTCTCACCGCTAAATGTCATCATTGGATTGTCCGGAGTGATCAATGAATCACCTGCACGAGCAACTCCATAATTTGTCACGGCTTGTTCGATCGTATCCCCGGCCAGGATAGCTTGAGTGTTCAAAGGGGGAATGTATATGCGATTGTGAGTGCCAACATCCTGACCAGCAAAGTACGTCTCCCTAATCTTATTGGCATATATCATCCAGAGGTCAGCGTCTGATCGTGCATCATCTGGTTTGGGAGCCATGATAGCGTGATAAAAGTCTGACTAAGTATTTCCAAGGTCAATGGAGGTTTAGAAGATGGTCAAATTTACCAGGAGATTCGTGGGTATTATTTATAGTCTAGAGAACATGTGATTTCAAATGAGGGTTCAATCGCGGGGTAAACTGGTGACTGATTATTCTTCCAGGTATATTTCGATGTTTAGATCACTTGGACACCCCGCATAGGGGCCGGAACATTCCATTTTCATAATTACCTTCTAAAGCAGCACCTGAACACCGCAATGGTTATATTGACAATAACCGGTTTCCGGTTTCAGCAGTCTCTTTGTTCTCAGCGCACGGTACATTATAAGGGCTCATCGAGTCTGGGTTACGAAAAACTTGCTCGAGCCTCAGCACGTGTGAATACTGTATGGTCTAGACCTTGATCTGAGATCAACGTCAGTCATAAGACCAGATCATGCGATTTCGATATTCTACTACAAAGAGTTCGTGTAAAATTAGTGGAAACGCTGCATGAGCTATCACCGGAACAAGTAAACTGGCACATAAACTTCTCAATGGATGATCATTAATGTGGAACAAATATGACAAGATGGAGTCAACCTGCAGGCTTTTCTGCTTCTAGACTTGGGTTCGATTATTGAAGACGACACTTTAGTCGCCGACTTCGAAGGTTTACACATCACGATTTGGATATTGTCGACGGCAAGAATGCTGACCGTTTGCGTAAAAATCTTCCTGACAGAATAATAGGAGGATGCACATTTGAAGTTCACTACCTAATTAGCAACCGTGGCGTAAATAATTGATAACAAATTCCCCAGAGTTCTTTTAGAGATATGAAAACTGCCCCCTCCATTATAGTAGAGTCTGATGAATTGGGTCAATATATATTAATGCAATATGCTGACATGCTTACTTTGCATTGCCTTTAGGCATGATCGGAATATTTATGTTCACAGGTCGCATTTCCCTGGGAATCTTTCTTCCTACACAAATCGCCAGAAGCAGGCCACTCGCTACCCACGAAAGCTGCGCAGCTACATTTGTCGCAGCTACCTTTTCCAAACTGAACGGGCGAGGTTATCCCAACCGAGTGAGATGGCAAGTTGTTCCATAGTCCATTCACACGGTATTCTTCGTCGAAGAAGGCCGTGCCGTAGGCTGCGTTTGGGAAGGACATAGTGGGGCTAGTTACTGAATCCAGAGATTGGAAGACGTGTCGAGCGATCCCGCGCACTATTTACCTAAATCCTCAGTCTGTCTGAAAAGGACAATATACTCTGCAAGGTGAAGACTTACCGTGCAAATAGCGCTTTAAAAGCTATACCTGAGAATATGGGACTATCTGGTATAATGTGCAGGTGGAAGACAGTTACAATTTACTGAATGGTAAAGACCGAGATCTAAGAAGTTTAAATAGTTTACTCATGGTAGTACATGTGTAGATTAGATTACCTCATTTCAACTCGTCAGATGTGTTTCCATTTGTGAAGTGCGTGGCTGGCAAAGCCGGCCGGGAAAGTCGTGTGATCGATCGTCACAACAATCGGGGCCAAGGACGAGTTCCATAATATCAGTACTGCCGTTTGCGGGTGAAGGGTTTAATCGTGGGGGAACGTTAACCTGAAATTGATGTTTGGTTCATTTAAACACCCCGCACAAAGACCGGAGCATCCCGATTCGATAAACACTTTACAAAGTAACGTCGACATATGTCTCTAACTCCACCCGATCCACCAAACCCAACAACGGAAACAATCTGCCCTAAATATCTGCGAGCCCTTTCTCAAGCTTCTTTCAATTGGACATGAACCATATTTTGCGTATCGTTCAGGCTACTCTAGCCTCAACCGTATCTCCAGACTTGTACGAGCGTTCGAAAGCTACCATATGCCCGCGATCATTCCAGCTATCATAGAGTCCACTATCGTCACTATAATCTATATCCCCAAGACGGGGCACTAGAAGCGGCTGTCCATGGTGGCCAACTAGGGAATTGAATCGCAAGCGCGCCGACTGTGCACAACCTGATAGCACATCCTAGTGCATTCTCTAAAACTTCGTCGCCAAGCGCATTATTTGTGATTTCGAAACAGAATGTGTCGAGGCCCGCTAGTAACGGTTTGTCTGCTGAGAGGCACATGCGCTTGCTGGAGGTATGGATCACTCTAGTCCCATCCTGCGCTATGTTGGTTCGCATATCAGAGGCCCACCGCGAAAAAAGCATACCCGCCCATACCGCCTGCTGCTCAAGAAATTTGCCTATAGATTCTTGCTGAACTTGCGCGCCAAGTCTAGGGGTGTCCATCCTATCTTTAAAATCGGAAAAGTTTACGACATCATAAATGGAGGGAATTGTCATAGGAACTATATTATATATAGCAACTATAATGTCCCTCCTAAATATTATGTTTAATATCCTATTAGTAATCTATCATTTGGATCTATAGCTCTTATTAATATGCTTTCTCACGACTCCAATACTAATTACCTAATAGTTTACTCAGGGGACTGGTAACTATATCCCCTTCTCCTACTGTTACTCTTGCCCGAGAACCTACCGAACCCTTTGGGCCTAGCTAACCCCCGAGGATTTAACATAGTGTTAGTCTTATTAAATCCTCTAGATTAGCTAGGCCCAACGGGTTTAGGTTAGTTCTTATCCAGGAGTAATAGTAGAAAAAAGAAAAATAGTTACTAGTTATATAATCAAGCTAATAGGTCTGTTAGATATAAGGGCGTGTTCTAAGTATCTTAGTGTTGTTATTAGATGGCTGGGGCGGAGGCCGGAGGCAGGATATCGAGACTTGGCCGAAATAGGGCTAGGATAGGTTATCTGCCAAGACCCACACAAAAGGGCGCCCTAGATAGAACCTCGGCCAATACACCGAATAATCAATCCATCTCATCTCCAGATCACCGATATTCATCAAATCACTGTGTGAATCTAACAATTAAGAGTCTCACTGCCTCAACCAATATACTGATCAACCATGACAGCCCAACTGAACCCTCAGCGCGTAGAGATAACGCTCCACGACTATAGCAACTTTACGAGCTGGTTCAAGCAACTGCAGAACCGCTGCATTGCTCATGATATATGGGATAAGGTTAACCCTGAGTCAATTACTCCGCTGACCGTAAAGCCGGTGGCAAATAGGATACCTATGATCACCGACTACGCGCCGGTAGCCAATATCCCAGTACTAACACGATAGTCTGAGCTATCTTTAGCCGGACAGAAGGCCTTTAAGGAGGACCTTAAGTACTATAAGCTGTTTCAAGAATAGTACAAGAATGATCGACATGAATATGAGAGAGAGCAAGTAAGCATCCAGCATATCGTTACGTTCATCCAATAAATAGTAGCAAGCCACCTACAGAACACCTGCTGCCTACCAAATCAGTCACCCCGCCAATGGATTACAAGCCTTAAGCTGGCAGTCGGCGTTGATAATTAATATGAGAAAGAGCGCGCGAGAGATTGATACCTCGCAGCTCTCAAACCAATGAGAAGTATCACGTCATGGGAATCCTGGCTTGCTGAGTACGATCAGGCAGCTATAGAAGCGGAGACCTATCTGGTCGCCGAAGTGACGCAATTGGATGCAGTCACAAAGGATTTTCTGGCAGCCGTCAACAAAGTGGCACCCGTATGGGCTACGGCCTTCTAAGACTACGGTAGATACGCCGCCGGCATAACTAGAAAGGAGATGATGAAACGGTTCCGAGAACACATGATGGCCAATCATCCAAGCATGAAAGGGAAGCATAGAGCAGCCTTTATGACTATAGATCGATCTGGTAGCGATCCATATGGAAGCTTTCTCGCTGATAGTGGTGAAACCACTTAGGGCAATGACAGGGACGCCTCTCATGCTGAACACGCGCCATCCAAGGGACGTCCCTTAAAACGAAAGAGAGCGCAACCATACAGGGCCTCTCAGCCATCTAACGATGAGCTAAATACCGCAGGCCCATGCCCAGCGTGTAAACAAAGCCATGCGGCTAAGGACTGCTACTATCTTTATGAGGAAAAGGCACCTGCATGGTGGAAACCAAGACCAGCTATTAGTGAACTGATAGAGCTTAAACGTAAGCATGACAGCACGTTTTAAGGGCTAATTTGAGGTTAAAGTAGATCACGAACATAAACACCTCATATTAAATAGTCCCATACGCCAACGCCGACCCGATTAATGGAAGTAAGTGATGAGTGACTAGATGGTCGTAAAATCTGTACTACAACTATAAGTACAAGTTTTAACACTGCTATATAATCTAATCCAAACACGTACCCGCTCCGCAACTTAGTGATCCTCGACTTAGGCACAACTTGCCATATCTTCAACGACGTTGATTGATTTGTTGCACTGAGGCCACCGAGGCCAGGCGACTTCATATGGGCTGGGAATACGCAAGTTTGGATACAAGGATATGGTAGCGTCCATGTACGTTTGAAGAGCACGCGCGGTAATAGCATAATTAGGCTAGATAATGTGGCATACTACCCTGATCTACTCTATAACCTGGTGTCGTTTCGCCTACTCAGACATTAAGGACTATGGTGGGATACCAAGTCTGACCCCACGGTAATTAAATGAGTAGACAATACAGTGATTGTAGAGCTTTAAGAACTGTATGGCTAATGGATACTTAAATACTAACCTTTGGACTAATTATATACTATAAGTGATAGTATAGCTTTTGTCGCGCATAAGATTAACTTACGCATAAAGTGGAGGGCAGCTATCGCCAGCGTAGAGATATGGCATAAATGATTAGGCCATCTAGGACCCAGCGCGCTCGAGCACCTAGTGTAGTGAGCTAAGGGGGTGCGCATTAAGGGCGTACCCATAGTTAAATGTGACGCCTGCGGCAGAGCAAAGTTAAAACGATAGATTAGGCGAGAAGCCAGGCTAAATAGTGAAGGACCCGGAGAGCGTATTGCGATCGACTTCCACGACTATGAGGCGTAGAGTTTCAATAAGGAGCGTAGCCAGATGCTCGCCACCGATTGATACTTAGGTCATATGTGGGACTTCTACTTCAAGGATAATTGGCCCGCCAGATCAATTATTAAAGTTCTGAACGACCTTGTGCTACTGCTAGTAGTATAGTTTGGCGTAACTGTTAAAGTTATTAAGTTAGATAACGAGATCTTCACGGTTAAGGTAGACGTCGAACGCTGGTGTATGAGTAAAGGCATTAAAATCGAGCCCTCGGCACCTGATATACAGGCCTAGAATGGAGGAGCCGAGCGCTTAGGGGGTGTAATTAAGGAGAAAGCCCGCGTAATGCGCCTCGACGCCAACCTACTATGGGACCTTTGGCTAGAAATTACATGAGCTGTGGTGTATCTACATAATCACACTCCAAACTATAAGAACTAATGGTGTACACTATACGAAGTGTTCTTTACTATAGTCTCTCTTATTAATGGGATTGTAACTTAACTAAAGAAACCGGCCCTAGGGCATCTTAAAGCGTATGGAAGCAAAGCATTTGCTATGACCAATGATACTTAACGTGGTAAGAGTAAGCTCCAACGACTAGACCCAAAGGCATGGATTGGATACCTAGTTGGTTACTGATCTACAAACATTTGGCGCATATGGATCCCATTACTATTAAAGGTGATTAGTATCCGCGATGTTATATTCGACGAAGAAATAGTGTTTAATGGTACTTAAGAAGAGATTATGGATAACCTCATGCATAGTATACTCGATGAGATAGCTATATGGATCTGAATAGTGGAGCTGCCGCCCACTCCAATAGATTATGGAGATATAACGCCCTTCTACGAAGATGAGACGATTAACGACTCCATATAAGATTAAGATAAAGATGAGACGCCAGGCTATTACTAAGGAAGGAAGATTAACTACACCTACCCATTACTGCCATTAACACCACCGCTGGTGACCCTACTAGCGTAACTCTTCTCCGACAAAAGCACACCTTCCTAAGGCTCTAGGGGGTTCCCACGAAACTTTCCTAAGACCCCCCCTAGCCCATTACCAGAGTAATACACCGAGATACTAGTGTTCGACCAGCCAACGTTGATGACAGTACCATGGGTAGCCGCCTTCATGGTAGGTACCCAGGCAGGTCACGTAGGTAAATATTAGGGTAAACACCTTAATAAGGCGCAGATTAGACGACTGTTAACTAAGGGCATTAAGCCTTATAGAAACGAGTTGCCTCCACTTCCTATAGTGGGTACACGACTTAACGATCATCCCATATATGATGAGTTTAAGGAGGCTGAGCGCGTGCATCTCGCCAGCCATTATTAGATGAAATTATGGATCGAGATTCAATAGAGGCCAATTAAATAGGTAGGCCACCAAATCCTCGACTATATGTGGGTATACACCTACAAGCTGAATAAGTATAATTAATTCCTAAAGTGTAAGGCTCGACTTGTCGTCCGCGGTGATTAGTAGTGGAATATTACCATACAAGATACCTACGCCGCGATACTGGCCAGCCACTCATTTCGTATACTCATGGTAATCGTAGCCAAGTACGATCTTAAGCTTAAGTAGTATGACGTTACCAATGCCTTTGTATATGCTCCACTTGATCGAGAAGTCTATATGAAGATGCCAGTGGGATACCAACGCAAAGGTACCATCCTTAAGCTATAGAAGGCACTTTATGGACTCCGTATTACACCCAAGCTCTGGTAGAGAGAGTTCACTACAACGCTGGAAAGCCTTAGTTTTACCATAGTACCTCATAAGCCATGCTGCGTGATTAAGGATGGCGTGATGATATTCTTCTACGTTGACGATATCATTATTGCTTACCACAAAGATAAGGAGGTAGTAGCAACTGAAGTAGTGACCCTACTATAAAATAAATACACTATGACTGGAGGAGATAACCTTTAGTGGTTTCTCGGCATGGAGGTTATCTAATAGAGAGACTAGTATCTTATATAGCTATTACAAGCTGTATACATTAAGAAAATCTAATGATTAATTGATAAATTAGATTGCTGACATAATACGCCCATGGCTAGAGTAGAGCTGAAGCCCCGCATAGGGTTAGCCTCGCCATTAGAGGTTAATAAGTATTAATGAAAGATTGGATCCCTACTGTTTGCCGCCGTAATAACGCGCCTAGATATCGCTTTTGCCATATTATGATTGGCCCAATTCCTCATAAACCTAGGCTAAGAGCACTATGATGTAGCTAATCGAGTACTCCTCTACCTTAGAGTAATAAGGCAAAAGGCCCTGCAGCTAGGAGGTGGAGATATCCTTTAGGTTGCCAGTGACGCCTCTTTCGCCGACAATACTCTGGATCGGAAAAGCTCTTAAGGATATGCAATTAAGCTATTTAGTGGCTTAATCGCGTGGCGAGTAACCAAACAGGATACCGTTATAATATCAACAACTAAGGTAGAGCTCCTAGCCCTCACGTAAGTGGCCAAGGAAGCAATGTACCTCTCCCGACTATTAAAGGAGCTGAAGGTCAACTTGCCTAGTATAATGATTATAATCCAATGTAATAATAAGCAAACAATTCGGCTGGTAACTTAGGAAGTATCAAAACTCTAGACTAAGCTTCGATATGTGGATATCCAC